TGCCAGGCCACTGCCTTATCAGCCCACGTTTTCATATTCATGTATCAGTGTGTTATTTCACTTCTAGTAAACTGCCTGGAATTAATTAATGTTCATGTATCAGTGTGTTATTTCACTTCTAGTAAACTGTCTGGAATTAACAAGCAATCAATCAATACCTATTGTGCTAGAAAATTTAAAAAGTAATCATCCCAGCACTAGGGAGGCAGAGGCAGACAGATCTCTATGAGTTTGAGGCCAGCCTGGTCTATAGAACTAGTTCCAGGATAGCCAGGGCTACACAGAAAAATTATCTCATAAAATAAAAACAGAAACTAAAAGAACAACAAAATTACAGACTAGCTTGTGGCGACTTGAACTAACTGCACTCAGCTCCGCTAATGACTCCAGTGACATTAGCCTAGTCAATCACTTCCATCTTCAGTGTCCTTGTGTACAAGTGGAAATGGCACCATAATCTTAACAGGGTCACTGGGAGTGGAGATTACTTAAGAAAAACCACCACAGCAATGCTCTGTCTTACCGGTAAAAGTCACTCTCTGGGTCACTGTGCCGGATCTGAAATGGTGCATTGGGATTTTTACAATCTAAAGGCTGGAGGTCATCAGGGAGAGGAGGTGACCCAGGGCAGGAGGGAAGAGGCTCACTCTCTTCAGTCTTCACGCCCTCTGTCTGCTGCTGACTCTGGGTCTGAGCTGTGGCAATAAGGCTGCGCAGACGTCGGTTGTGCTGGATCAACTGAATGGTGTGGATGGTGAGGCTGCAGGGTTCTGAGGGGATGTCCAGCATGGTGGGGGGCTTCGGCTTGTTGGCTGAGGGCTGGTGCAGGGGTGGGTCATGGACTTCCACCAGGCGGAACTCCCGTGGGAGCAGATCAAAGGAACTTCTGTTGGTTTGTCCTGATGGTATTGGTATTTCTCCCCAGTACCTCAGCATTTTAGAGTGAACAGAGAAGGGCTCTTGGGCTTAATTTAGATGATGCCCTAAAGGTATGTGTTTACGTCTCTGGCAACTGTAGAACATAAGCTTTTGTAGTGAAAAGTAGGAAGTCCAGGCAGTTCTGACATAAAAAGCAAGCTAAGATCACTTTGAAAAAGGTGCTAGCAAAACTCTAGGACAAAAGATGTTCTCCCTGAAGAAATGAAGAGAAAAATAACTGTTAGATGCCAATCACACAGGACAGCTCCTCTTTGAATTAGAAAAGGACAATCAAAGTCATTAAAAGGTAAAGAGCAGTGACTTGTGTGTGGGACTCGTAACATGTACACTGCCTATTTCACATCACACATTCATCACCAGAATAACCATCATGCCTCATTCTAAATTCTTGACAAGGCAAAAAACTTAAGTGGGAGTACTTCCAGAGTATTTCTACAATTGTGCTAGATTTCTAGGAAAAACAGAGTAGCATTAAAAATACCACCAGCCAGCCAGACATGGTGGCGCACTCCTTTCTCCCAGCACTCAGGAGGCAGAGGCACACAGATCTGAGTTCAAGGCCTGCCTGGTCTACAGTGTGCGTTCCAGGATAGCCAGTGCTATACAGAGAAACCAGATCTCAAAAAACAAAACATACTAATAGGTGCTTTTTAATCTGTGCTGTGCCTGGTAGAAACATTCATGAACCTTTAATCTAGCCTAATGCTTCCAAATTCTGAAATATACATGAACAAACGGGTTCTTTGTGGGCATGGAGGTCAGGGATCAGCCTCAGGCAACAATCCATCTTGCCTTTTCATATAGGATCTCTCACTGGAGTCTAGGGTTTGCTGATTATTCTAAATCGGTGTGTTGCGTGTAGTTTTATTCTACTTCTTTGCTCTGGGACTGTCGGAGCTACCAGCCCCCACCCGGCTTCCCTTTTGCTATAAGTGCCTTTAGCTCTGGGAGGTGACTGAGTTACCAACCTCTTTCCTACTTCCCTTGAATCTGTCGATAAAAGACATACACAGTTTGTTCCTTTATAACTTGCCTTCTTAGCACAACTGCTGGGTGATACTGTCTCCCACCTAGAAAAGCATGCCCTTATTAACATTTTGATCTCTGTCTCTTCACCTGCCCCAAACTTCAGTGGCTAGTCCCACCTAGCCCCTGCCAAACATCCATGACCACCCCGCCTGTAGCAGCGGCCACAGGCCCCAGTTCCCCCATGACCTCACATGGTTGCCTCTTTCTTCCTCCAAAATATGGCAGAAAAACTTCTACTTCCTTGTGTCTCCCTTTCTCTCTTGGGACCCGGAAGTCCCACCCATACCTTCCGCTCAGCAATTGGCGATCAGCAATTGGCCCTCGGCTTTCTTTACTGACAAATCAAGAACCAATTGGGAAACAAGACCTTAGCATCAGAACTGCCCCCTTCACCAGTAAGTTCCAGGGATCTGCCTCTCCCCACAAGCTATAAGCACATGCACCTATACCTGTTTTTTGTTTTTGTTTGTTTTTGTCTTTTTTTGTTTGTTTGTTTTTTGTTTTTTCGAGACACGGTTTCTCTGTGTAGCCCTGGCTGTCCTGGAACTCACTCTGTAGACCAGGCCGGCCTCGAACTCTGAAATCCGCCTGCCTCTGCCTCCCAAGTGCTGGGATTAAAGGCGTGCGCCACCGCCACACGGCATAACTGGGTTTTTGATATGGGTTTTGGGGATTGAACTCAGGGTTCAAGCATTTTATAAACTGAGCTGTCTCCCCAGATTGAATCTGAGAGACTTCTGCTGCCTTCTAACAAGTACTCCTTCCTCTAGTCCAGTTGTTCTGAACGTGTAGGTCATAAGCCCTTTGGGGATCAAATGACTCTTTCATAAGCAAGGAATATTAGATATCCTGTATATCAGATATTTACAATAAGATTCGTAACTGTAGCAAAATTACAGTTATGAAGTAGCAATGAAAATCAAAATAATTTTATGGTTGAGGGGTCACCACAACATGAGGAACTATATTAAAGGGTCACAGCACTAGGAAGGTTGAGATCTGCTGTTCCAGCCTCTCTCAGAATCTGACCTACACTTGGCCCTGTTGCTAGACTTTCTCCCTTTCTCTGTCTTTCTGTCTCTCTCTCGGTACTGAAGATTGAACACATGCTACGAAAGTAAATATTTTATTACTGAGCTACACTTCCAAGCTTTTTTGTTTTGTTGTTTTACTTGGAAAAAGTTAGAATTCTGCGGCTTACCATTCAATGAAACCTACTACCTTTCTTTAATTCAGTTCTCCAGGCTCACTGCCCATATGTCTCTTCAGGTCCAACTAACGTCAAATGAACTCATTGTGTGAAAGTGTAAGATCTTTGTCCTGAGGGAAGAGTAACGGAAGCAAAATATTGCAATATAGCAGCATGCAGGCACTGCTACTTGCTTAAACTCAGTGGCCTGTAGGCAAAGGAGGGGCTTCCTGGACGAAATGACCTCAGTTCTAACAATATGATACTCAGTTTCTTTCTTTCCTTCTTTCATTTACTTATTTTGGGTGTGTGTGCATATGAAAATCAGAAGACAACTTGTGAGAGTCAGTTCTCTCCTTACACCATGTGAGTTCCATGGACTGAACTCAGATTGTTAGACTTGGCAGCAAGTGCCTTTACTTACTGAGCCATTTAACTGGCCCCTCAGTTAATTTTCTAAGATTGTATTTTATTTTTAATTAGTTAATTTCAAGACAAGGTTTCTCTGTGTAGCCTGGGCTGTCCTGAAACCTACTCTGTAGACCAGGCTGGCCTTGAATTTAGAGATTTTATTTCTATTGTTGTCTGTTGGGAGTTGGGTATGTATGTGTGTTCCTTGTGCCAAGGAGAGTTGAAGAGGGCATCAGATCCCTCTGGAGCTGGAATTAGATATGGCTATGAACTGCCCTGATGTGGGTACTAGAAATGGAACTCAGGTCCACTGGAAGAGCAGCAAGTACTGTTAACCACAGAACCATTTCTCCAGCCCCACTACTCAGCTTCTTGAGAACATCAGACATTTTTATAATTGACCCTTTGAATTGTGACCTCTACCACCCTCTACATCTTTATTAGACTTGAATTTGTTCTTTAAGATAACTGAAACGCAATCCCCCAACATTTCCCCAATACACACCCTTTCTTTGTATCCCCAAATCAATTTGCTTTTATCCCTGAAACTTAAGTTTAGTCGACTTATTCATCTGTATTCACCTACTTGTTATGGCTACCATCTTGATATAGTGTCAAAGAGTTACAATATAAGATACTGCTTAGTTCAATTTTCCAACCATCTTATGAAAAATAACACTATCACTTCCAATTTTTCAGATGTGGAAGCTGTGGTCCAGTGTCATGCCAATGTCATAAATACAGAGAGAAAGAGAAATGAGGTTTCGATGCTCAGGTTCTAAAGCCACTAAACATGCTGCCTCAATAATTTGTTCCGAATAATAAAAGAATGAGCAAACAAGAAATTGCTTCTTCCCTAACTTCACAAAAGGAGTAAAGGGGTTATCAAGCCTAAGGTCCGGGAGCTGCAGGGTAGGGCCTCCTTGCTCCGGATGTGCAGGCTTAGGCGCCAACCACAGGATCCAAGGAAGTCTGATTTACAAGGCAGCAAGAAAATGGGACGCTCTGGACCTGAACCAGAAAATAAAGCTCAAATACTCACCGCCCTGTCCCAGGAGTGGTCTACGCGGCTGTCTGACCGGTCTGAGTCGACGACTAGGTCAAGCCTAGGAGCCTTGTTTATTGATTAATGGTCCAAGGCCACCGGAAGCACTTCTTCCCAATCGCCCTCTGACGCAGGAAGTTATTACTAGCCGGTTGCAGCGCCTAAAAATGTCCGTGTTCTGCACAGCACTTTGAAGCCCCTCCCTCCTTTCTGATATTGTGTCTCCCTAGAGCTATTCACATCTTTAAAACTCTGTGAGTCTTGAAAGAGACATTGGCGTCCAGAGAAGCGTCAGGGAGCTAGGAAGGAGGAGGAGAAGTGAGCAGGAACGTGGAGAGCGAGGGGCCGCGGTTTCCGAGGGACATATTTTGAGATTGCACCCGGCTGAGGATGGCTGATACTCCCTCTCAGCTAGAAGCGCCAGCACCTCAGCAAGTCAGTAGCGAGTTTAAGAAGCCTGTTTTGCCGGTGCCTCCCTCAGTACGGAGTAAGGCTCAGGCCTCCAGTCCCTCAGTTCCTGAAGATGTGAAGAAGGAATGTCCCACGGCTCAGCTGGACTCTGGATGTGGGGAGCCTGAGGTCCCGCCACCGCAGCGGGACAGCGAGGAGACTGGGGATCCACCGGTGGAACAGCTCCGCTCCCCGCGGGTAGCTCCTGCTTCTGGCGGTCCAACCCGGGCTCCTCCATACCAAGAGCCATCGTGGGGCAGCCCAGCCACAGCCCCCTACAGTCTCGAGACCCTGAAGGGTGGCACCATTCTTGGCACCCGCTCCTTGAAAGATACGAGCAGTTGCCTTTTCGGGAGACTTGCTAGCTGTGACATATGCCTGGAGCATCCTTCCGTGTCTCGGTACCATGCTGTACTACAGCACCGGGGGTCGGATCCCAGCGGAGACTCTGAGGGTCCAGGGCAGGGCTTTTATCTCTATGATCTGGGAAGTACCCACGGCACTTTCCTCAACAAAACTCGCATCCCACCCCGCACTTACTGTAGAGTCCATGTCGGGCACGTTATTCGCTTTGGAGGCAGCACTCGGCTCTTTATCCTTCAGGTAAGTAGAAAAATCTAAAATAAAACTCTTGAGACTTCACTATGCTGGGATTCTGAGTTTCTTTAAGGTTTAATTGAGAAAAGGGTTTTTTCTAGTAACCAATGACAAAAGCATAGGGCTCAGTCTGGACCCGCAGGTATCTCGGAATGTAATTTCTCCACTTCTGAATCCATATATGTATATATATTCCCCTTGATTCATTAGGGACCAGAGGAAGACCGAGAGGCAGAATCTGAATTAACAGTGACACAGTTGAAGGAACTTCGCAAACAGCAGCAGATGTTATTGGAGAAGAAGATGTTAGGTGAAGACTCAGATGAAGAAGAGGATGCAGATACCACTGAAGGGAAGAGAAATACAAGTCAAGATGATGAGATGGGCTGCACGTGGGGAATGGGTAAGAAACTGCTACTGAAAGTTCTGAGCTCATTCCTGGTGGCACTCAACTGCTTTTGATCATACAGCTCAAAAAACCTACAGCTGGAGTAGGGTAAATATAATTTCCAAGCCCAGGATCATTAACTTTAGTGATATAAAAATTTTGAATTATGGGCATTATACATACACTCTTTCTCACTGTGCAATTTGCTTATTGCTTTTATCATTTAAACACACACACAGAGTTCTGAGTGCTAATTATCACCTGGAGGACACGGAAAAATTTACTTCATTCCATTGGCTGAGAAATCGGTGTTTGATATTTTTTCATCTCTCAGGCTATTTTTACAAAGTGCAACACAGCCGGGTGGTGGTGGCGCACACCAAAAAACCAAAAACCAAAAACAAAAACAAAATAAACCCCAAAGTGCAACACATTTAAGAGGTTATTATAGCTCCACTTTTTTTCTTTGTTTTGTTTTGTTTTTTGTTTTGTTTTGTTTTGTTGTTTTTCGAGACAGGGTTTCTCTGTATAGTCCTGGCTGTCCTGGAACTCACTCTGTAGACCAGGCTGGCCTCGAACTCAGAAATCCACCCTGCCTCTGCCTCCTAAGTGCTGGGATTAAAGGCGTGCGCCACCACCGCCGGGCATAGCTCCACATTTTGGATGCTAGGTAATCAGGCCTATGAAAAGATATTTTGGGGAGAGGTTGGAGAGATGGCTCAGTAGTTAGAGCACTGCTCTTGCAGAGGACCTGAGTTCAGTCTTCAGCAGCCACATGGTGGCTCATAATGATCTATAGTGTGCTCTGATGCCCTCTTCTGGCATGTATGTGTACATAGAGATAGAGTATCCATATACATAAAACTGTAAAAGAAAAAGATAGTTGGGGCTAATAAGGCGTCATGATGCAGTCCTTTAATCTCAGCACGTGGGAGGCAGAGGCAGGTGGATGTCTGTTAGTTTCAGGCCAGCATGATCTACATATTGAATTTCAGGACAGCCAGAGCTACATTATAGAGAGACCCCGACTCAAAAAACAGACGAGAGAGTGACTGAAAGAAGTTGCAGCTTGATGAGCTTGCTCAGCAGATAGAGGTGTGTGCTGCCAGTTGTGCTGACCTGAGTTTGACCCAGGGAAGCGAGCACATGGTGGAAGAAGAGGATGGATTCATCAGGTTCTCTTTGGCCCTCTGTGTGCACTGTGGCATGTATATGTGTGGCCTGTAGATGTCAGGACAGGACAAATGCAAAAATACTTAGGCTATGTGTCAAGAATAAGCCAGAAACCATTAGCATGCTTGAGCTAGTGTCATAAAAGGAGTCAGTCACTGGGAACTTAACAGCTAGTGAATAGCATAGATCTATCTGCATATCTGATGTGGCTCGTCCAAAGGCATGTCTTCTAAGTGCTAATTATACACAGGATTTCAATGACAATGAAAAAAGAAAAGAAAATATCATATTCTTGTAATGATTATTATGGTAAGATGGCCTTTTTAAAGTAGCTAACAGGAAACTCAGAATTATACTCATACCACATATTTCTATTGGACAGTACTGATTTAGATCTCTTGGAAACTGTAAGTTATTTAACTCTTGTGTGTTTGTGTTAGGGGGCATGGCCTGTAGGTGGCGGTCAGAGGATAACTTGCAGAGTTCCCCTGCTTTTACTTTGTGAGTCCCAGGGGTCAAAAGCAGGTTTTCAAGCTTGGTAGCAGGAACCTTTACCTGCTGTCCCACTTTATATATTTTTAGATAAGAGTTTCAAGCTGAAGCCAGGGTGGTGGTGGGGGTGCACGACTTTAGTCCCAGCACTGTAGAGGCAGAGGCAGAAGCAGGCAGATCTCTGTGAGTTTGAGGCCGGTATTGTCTACAGAGTGAGTTCTAGGACAGCCAAAGCTACATAGAAACCTTGACTCAGAATAAAAGAGAAAAAAAGAAAAGAGAGAAGAAAAGAGTTTCAAGCTAGAACTTGAAGGAAAAGTAAAGCTTCTGGTAAAGCTGCACGCCAGCATCGGTGCTCAGGGCAGAGACTGTTGGTTTTTAAGGGAGTGTTGTGTTGACCAGTCTGCTTGTCAGACTGGAGAGTTACTAATAATCAGTATTGGAGTCAATAAGACCTGAGTGGGAGAAAAAGAGACTAGGCTAGATAGCTCAGTGGTTTTTCAAAGTGTGGTGGGTAAATGTCTCTAAAGTGATGAAAAGAAGAAAAACTCATGGAAACAAGTCTTGTCTGTTACACAGCTTAGAAAACAGAGATATTCATAATGGTGACTTTGTGATTGTTCAACCTGTGCCCCCAGATATCTTTCTTTTTTTTTTTTTTTTTTTGGTTTTTTTGTTTGTTTGTTTGTTTTTTTCGAGACAGGGTTTCTCTGTGTAGCCCTGGCTGTCCCAGATATCTTTCTTTTAATCACGATCAAATATAGATAATAAGTGTGTGTGTTTCTTAAAACATTGTCTTTATACAGTCAGGCAATCCTCCTGTCTCAGCCTCCTGAGTACTAACTACAGGTGTGTGTCACTGTGCCACCTCATCTAATTATATCCTGATTCAGCCTAGAAGGCTCATGAATTTCATTCACATATCCTCGTCTCATATTTGTTGTTCCTTGTGTCTCCTTGTCTCCTGCAGGAGAAGACGCTGTAGAGGACGAGGCCGAAGAGAACCCCATTGCCTTGGAGTTCCAGCAGGACCGGGAGGCGTTCTATAGAAAGGATCCAAAGAAGGCACTTCAAGGCTTCTTTGACCGAGAAGGTATGTGAGTGAATGTGGTTCTGGCTGTGACAGTAAAGTCATTCACCACAGTGCCGCTTCCTAAAGCTTTGACTTTTGCCTAATACTTGTAAATAATGTATTTTGTCTGTTGTCTTCCTTATTCAGCTCTTGCCCTGTGATCAGTTTCCGTCACTTTCTTTGGCTCTGTTTGTTTTTATTTTTTGTGGGTTGCTGAGGCTCCGATCCTGGGTGTGTACTGGGAAAGTGCTTTCTCTATCACTGAGAGAGAGAGATCTCCATCACAAGTCCCAGGTTCATGTTGAAAATAATAAAATTCTTGTTTGTCTTTCTTTCCGTTTTAAATACTTTTCTCCTAACTTAACACATTCTTCTCAGATCTTGGATTTAGTAGTAGGGAATTGAAACAAAGCCTTAGCATTTATTATTCCTAATTCACGTGGTCTTTCATAATCAGTATTTTTTTAATGCATGTGTTCTAGAAAACCTTAGGTGTAATTCTCAGGAACACCATCTTACTTCCTTTGAGACAAGGTCTCTCATTGTCCTGGAGATCCCTTAGCCACTGAACCCCAGGGATCCTCTTGTCTCTGCCTCCCCGGGGCTGGGATTACAGCATGTGCCACCATGCCCAGTTTTTTTACATGGTTTCTAGGACATTGAACTTGGATGCTTATGCTCTCTAGGCAAGGGCTTCTCCCACTGAGCCATCCCCTACAGCCCCTGGTTTTCCAGTTCTTAGTGCAGATTCTACCTCATATGATAAGAAATGTTCTCAGGGAGAATTGTTTCAGTAGATATATTTTGAGAGAACATTGATGCATATTTATGTATATATTCATGTTTTATGTATACATTAACACATACATAGTTATTCACAGAGATTTTGGGGGGATTAGTTCCAAGATGCTTCGCTGTAGATACTAAGATCTGAGGATGCTTAAGTTTCTATATCAAGTAGCATAATATTTTCATATAAACTACATATAGCCTCCTATATGCTTTAAATATACTCTAAATTATTTACATTACTTAATATAGTGTAAATGTATGTACATGGTCATTATACTGTCTGAAAAAAGTATACGTGTTCAATAGTCTTTTTTTTTTAAAGATTTATTTATTTTATTTATGAGTACACTGTAGCTGTCTTCAGACACACCAGAAGAGGGCGTTGAATCTCATTATGGGTGGTTGTGAGCCGCCATGTGGTTGCTGGGATTTGAACTCAGGACCTCTGGAATCGCAGTCAATGTTCTTAACCGCTGAGCCATCTCTCCAGCCCCCAAGTATACGTGTTCAAAGCAGACAGTTTTTTTTTTCTTTATTTGATTGAATACCGATAGGGAAGAAAAGTCCAATCTGTCTGTCTGTCTATCTCTATCTCTGTCTGTCTCTCTCTCTCCTCTCTCTCTCTGTATAACTGTATATGTATAAATACATATCTAGAAGTATATATGAACTAACTGCTTTCCACACATAGTATTATGATTCTAGCCAGCCATGATGGCTGGTACCCGCTGTTCCAGCACTTTAGTAACTGGAAGCAAGAAGATCAGAAGTTTAAAGTCATGCTTTGCTTGTCTCCTTAGCATGTTCAAGGCCAGCCTAGACTACATGAAGTCCTGTTTCTAGCAGCAACAGCAAAATGAGTATTTATGCATCTAAAAACTAACTATGCCTATTAAAATTGAGGCTAGTCAATAAGGTGCCTGCTAACAAGCAGGAGGTCAAGAGTTTGGATCTCTAGAACCTACATAAAAAAGCTGGATATGGTAGCATATGCCTATAAGCCCAGTGCTTGGGAGGCAGAGAGACAGTTGGGTTCTTGGAGCTTATTGGTCAGCCAACCTAGCTGAATTGATGGACTCTTGGTTCAGTGAGTAATTCTAAGGTGGAGAATGACTGAGGAAGATAACCAGTCTTAGCACACACACACACACACACACACACACACACACACACACACACAATTGCATAAATAAAAGTATATATGGAGAGATGATTGGTTTGGGTGTTTTGTTTTGATTATGCTGGAATCAAATCCAGGACCTTGCTCATGCTAGGCAAGCATTCTGTCACTAAGCACAACCTGAGACCCCCATCACCTGGAGACCAGGTAGGCCTTGTAGGTATGATCTTCTTGCTTTAATTTCTGAATGCCTAGTATTAGAAGCTGTATATATAAGTATACATAGCCAAGATTGTATTTTGTGGTCTCTGATTGAACATAAGACCTATATGTATTTCAAGCAAGCACTCTGCCACTAAGATGTATCCTAACTCTGTCTCTCTGTCTCTGTCTCTCCCCCTACCCCCTCTCTTTCAAGTGATAGGGTCTCAGACTTTCAATGTTGCTCAGGCTGGCCTTGAACTTGCACCTCCCTCCTGAGTGCTGGGATTTTAAGTATGAGCTACCAAACCTGATTCTAGCCCTCTTTTTTAGTTGGAGGTTGTATTAGTCGGGGTTCTTTAGAGTCACAGAACTTATGGATAGTTTCTATATAGTAAGGGAATTTGTTGTTATGACTTACAGTCTGCAGTCCAACTAACTCAACAGTGGGCAACTGTGGATGGGAAGTCCAAGAATCTAGTAGTTGCTCAGTCCCATGAGGCTAGTTGTTTCAGCTGGAATTCTGTATGAGCTGGAATCCTGAAGAAGTAGGTTCCAACAGATGTGCTGGCAAGTAAGTGCAAGCAGGTGAGAGAAGTGATTCTTCCTCCAGTGTCCTTATGTAGGTCTTCAGCAGAAGGTGTGGCTCAGATTAAAGCTGTGTACAACCACATCTGGATCTGGGACTTGCTTGTCCCAGGCTGACCTTGAACTCAGAGATCTCCTTGCCTCAGAGATCTTTAATCCCTTGCCTGGGATTAAAGGTGTGTACGAACTACCTAGCCTGGGCCTAAGCTTTTCATGGGTACTATGCCTCAAGATCTGCATGCCAAGATCCAGGTCAGAAATTTGTATATTCCAGATATAGTCAAGTTGACTACCAGGAATAGCCATTAAAGGGGTGTAGTTTGTGTTTTTCAGACAGGGTTCATTAAGTTGCCTAGGCTGGCCTTAAATTCATCCAGTAGCTCATCAGGCCTTAAGCTTGAGATCGTCCTGCCACACCACCCGAATAGATGGGATTAAGTACTGTCAGACCCTGCTGAGTTGATTGTTTGGATTTGAAATGATTTTCTTGTGTGTCACATTCATTCTAGTCTGATTTCCAGGTAATGATCCCTATCTGTGCTCACTGTGATGTTAAAACTTGATATCTTTGACTTGATACAGTCCTCCTTACTGTATCAACTGGTAATTTTCAGATCTGGCTGAGACTGTTCTTTTTCCTATAGGAGAAGAGTTAGAATATGAATTTGATGAGCAGGGACACAGCACTTGGCTCTGCAGGGTGAGGTAAGTTCTTCTTGTTTGTTTTTAGCTGTGTTTTGAGACAGGGTCTTGTTTGAAAGTAGCCAGTTTCAAGTTAACATATGGTTGCAGGGAATAGCCCAAGAGTAACTTTACTCTGCACTTTAGGCTAGTTCCAAGTTTGGGCCTTGATAGCTCAATAGCACTGGGAGCTGGGGTGAAATGAATAAAGCTGGAAGGAAATGATTTGAAGTCCGACCGAGGGAAGACAGAGTGAAGTTATCTGAGAGCCTGCAATGCCGTCGTCATGGACACTCAGCATCTTGATGGCTGTTGTCATGAGAGTCAGGGCTTACTGCTGAGCTTCTTACCCCTGTAAACCAATGCAGGTTACCTGTAGATGATTCATCTGGGAAACAGCTGGTGGCTGAGGCCATTCACTCAGGAAAGAAGAAAGAAGCAATGATACAGTGCTCACTGGAAGCTTGTCGGATCCTTGATACACTGGGCTTGCTACGGCAGGAAGCAGGTCAGTATATAAAAATCTTTTCCTTTTAGAAAACAAAGAAGGAAAATATACTGCATAATCTCTCTACATAGATAGTGTGTAAACTGTACAGAACTTTCTGAAGCAGAGAGAAACATTCCCTCTCAACATCCTAAGACTGTTTTAGACGTTTGTCTTAGACGTTTTCTGTATGTAGGTGAGTGTAGATTTAAAACTAAACACTAAAACTGGGTGTGGTGGTGCATACACCTTTGATCCCAGCATTGAGGAGGCGGAGGCAGGCTGATCTCTGTGAGTTCAAGACCAGCCTGGTCTACAGAGCAAGTTCCAGGACAGCCAGGGCTATGCAAAGAGAAAACCTATCTCAGAAACAGAAACAAACAAACAAACAAACAAAACAAACAACCCTGGCTCCTGAGACAGACATGGCAGTCCCTGTCTGTAATTGGCAAAGCAGACACAGGAGGATAGTTGTGATTCAAAGTCATTCTGGTCCATGTATCCAGGTTCATATTTGTTGGTTTATTTCTATGGTTAGTGGTCTTTTTCTTATCATCATCTTACCTTTTTATTGATTTATATCTTTTTGCTTGATTGTTTTTTGTTTTTTTGAGACATAGTTTCTCTGTGTAGCCCTGGCTGTCCCAGAGCTTGCTCTGTAGACCAGGCTGGCCTTTGCCTGTGGAGTGCTGGGATTAAAGGCATACAACCAACATGACCAGCTTTGTTTTTACTGTTGATTGTTGTAAAATATATGTAGCATAAAACATGCTATAATTTAGTAATATTAGGTATATTTAAGTAATAATCACTGCCCAGCTCAGAACTTTTCGTTATCCTTGGTGCAGTTATAACCTGTGAACATTAATTCCATTCTCCTTACTGCCAGCCCATGCGTCTGCCATTCTGTTTCTGTCTCTGATTTCACTTCTTTATAAAGTGTGGATATCAGAGGTTGGTGTTGGGTATCTTCTTCAGTCACTCCTTACCCTTTATTTTGAGGTAGGATCTCTTATTGAACCCGAGCCCTAGGTTTGTTTAGCTGACCAGCTTGCTGGGGATGGATTTCTCTGTTTTCTGTGTTGGGGGATTACAGGTGGGCTCTTGCCCAGCATTTGCATTGGGTACTAAGGCTCTGAACCTGGTCCACACTTGTGAGACAAGTACTTTGTGTACTACATCATCTTCTCAGCGCACATTTGACTACTGTAGGTTCCTTGTATAAGTGGCGTGATAGGTACCCTTGTGTGTGACTCATTTCCCTCTCCTCTCCTTTCTTTCTCCTCTCCTTTTCCCTCTCCTCTCCTTTCTTCCTCCTCTCCTTTTTCTTCTTCTCCTCCTCCTCTTCCTCCTCCTCCTCTTCCTTCTTCTTCTTCTCCTTTTTCCTCCTCCTCTTCCTCTTCCTCTTCTTCCTCCTCCTCTTTTCTTCTTCTTCTTTCTCTTCTTCCTCTTTTTTTCTTCCTCCTCTTCTTCCTCTTCCTCTTCTCTTCCTCTTCTCTTCCTCTTCTTCCTCTTCTTCCTCTTCTTCCTTTCCTCCTCCTCCTCTTCTTCTTCCTCCTCTTCTTCTTCCTCCTCTTCTTCTTCTTCTGACAAGGTATTGTGTATCCCAGGCTGGCCTCAATCTTGTTATAAAGCCAAGGATAGTCTTGAACTTCCAACCCTCCTACCTTTACCTACAAGTGCTGAATTATAGATTTGTTCCCTTGCACCTGTCAAACCAATAGCCTTGTGCATACTATGTACACACTACCAACTGAAATATATCCCCAGCCTCCCTTTCTCTTTCTCAATCTCTAAAACAAACAAACAAACAAACCCTTTGTTATGAATTATTTTATTTTTAGTGTCTCGGAAAAGGAAAGCCAAGAACTGGGAAGATGAGGATTTTTATGATAGTGATGATGATACATTTCTTGATCGGACTGGCCTGATAGAGAAGAAGCGCTTGAACCGGATGAAGAAGGCTGGGAAGATTGATGAGAAGCCAGAAACTTTTGAATCACTGGCAAGTTGTTCATAGAAGTAGCTACTTTTATGTCATTATAGCTTTTAAAAACAACAGCATAGAAATCTAATACTGAGTTACAGTTATTGTGATCTAAATTCAGTGGTAAGAAAATAACTGGTTTTATTCAAGTTAGTGGAAAAAAGAGTTTACTCACTGCCGTTCACTTTCCTCCAGATTTGTATTGATCTATTAATGAACATTTGGATATGGCATTACTCCCCATATCCCCCGAAAAAAAAGAAAAAGTTCCAAGTTTGGGTGTTCACAATGAAACTGATGTTAGGCCCTGGCATTTAGGAGAAGTCAGAAGAATGGTGTCACCTTAGTCTGGAATCGCTATGCCATTCAGGAACTTGCCTTAAGGTGACATGCATTTAACACTATATTTAGCAATATTCCTAGCTTTCAACATCTACCAGTAACTATTCAGTTACTCATTCTATTCGAGTTTTTTAATTCTAAAATTAGTTCCACTAGAATAAAGTAAACAAATGAATTATAAACTCCACCAGGAACCAACTTAGATGGACTTCTGAATAAGTCATCTTAAACCTTGTAATAATATTGACAATGAGAAGGTGATGGGAAGAAAAGCATTTGCTAACCCTGTTGATTTGGGCATTATAGGTTGCAAAGTTAAATGATGCCGAAAGAGAACTCGCCGAAATTTCTGAAAGACTCAAGGCTTCAAGCAAAGGTGAGCCTGTCATCCAATAGTTGTCAGGCCCCTGTCATATAAGTAGATACTGCATCATGTTAGGCACTGGGATACACTGGAAAGTGCAGGCTTTGGGAGAGTACTTTTAAGGAGCAAAATAGTCTTTTATTTAACGCGTGTTTTTGAGTGTTTTGCCTTCATACATGTCTGTGTACCAGTCCATGTGTGGTGCTCATGGAGGCCAGAAGAGGGCGCTGGATCCCCTGCAACTGGAGTTACAGAATGTTGTGAGCTGCCATACAGATGCTGGAAACTGAACCCAGGTCCTCTGTAGGAGCAGCAAGTGCTGAGCCAGTTCTCCCACAGTGTAACATTGTAAAGCTAGAAAAAGATTTTTTAAAATGTTTGCTTTAGTTTCTTTTATTTAATAGTTGACAGGAATGAAGCCTAAATCACCTCCAAGGTCTCCCACAGCTATGACTTTTTGGTTCGTTCCTAATACCAGTGGTGATGGCTGTTCAGCTTTACATTTGTGAGCCTCTGTGGATGTTGGACTGGATTTAAAAGTATCGGGCCACCTTTCTAAACATGTCTTATTCCTTTTGGACAGTTCTGTCAGAATCATCATCTCAGGATTCTTTAGATGCGTTCATGTCAGAAATGAAATCAGGGAGCACATTAGATGGGGTCTCCCGGAAGAAACTTCACCTGAGGACTTTTGAATTACGAAGAGAACAACAGAGACTTAAAGGGTTAATAAAACTTGTAAAGCCGGCAGAGATCCCAGAGCTAAAACAGTAAGTATGAATAGTTCTAGTTGAGAAAAGTCAGAGACAATAGCTCATGTAGCCAGCCTGGCCTCCACAGAGTGCTGTTGCCTGCCATGATCTCTGTTGTGTATATGCAGTTTGCACATGCTGAGGTCAGGGGTCAACTTTGGTTTTGGCTTTTTCTTTCCATCATCTGGATTCTGAGACTGGATTCAGACTTGGGGTTGGTGGCAAACATCTTTACCGTCTGAGCCATCTCTCCAGCTTAATGTTGAACTTTTAAAGAAAACTTTAGTAAAAAAGAATTTTTTTTTTTTCTGGTTTTTTGAGACAGGGTTTCTCTGTACAGCCCTGGCTGTCCTGGAACTTGCTCTGTAGACCAGGCTGGACTCGAACTCAGAAATCCGCCTGCCTCTGCCTCCCAAGTGCTGGGATTAAAGGTGTGCGCCAACACTGCCTGGCAGTAAAATTTTTATTCTCTGAGAATTTCATATAATGTATTTTGATCATATTCAGCTCCTCTCATTCCCTCAACTATGTTTACCCAGAAGAATATGTTTGTATCATTTAAAAACAATTATATTCTGCCTCTACTTCCCAAATATGGATGTGCCACCACATCCAGTCTTATTTATCTTTGTATTTAATACTTATAGAATTATTTTGTTTTGTGTGTGTGTGTGTGGTTTTTGTTGTTGTTGTTTTTGTTTTTGTGCTAAGGGTCAACCACAATCTTCACACATAGTAAGTACATACTGTACCTCTGAGCCATATTCCTGGTACAGATAGCCTTTAGGAACAAAAGGATAGGCCTGGAGAGATGGCTCAGAGGTTAAGAGCACTGACTGCTCTTCCAGAGATCTTGAGTTCAATTCCCAGCAACCACATGGTGGCTCACAACTGTCTGCAGTGGGGTCTGATGCCCTCTTCTGGTGTGTCTGAAGACAGCTGCAGTGTACTTATACATTAAAAAAAAAAAGGATAACAGGATTATTTGTTAACTATAGATTGCTAGAGGATTTTCCATGGATATTACATGGATTCTTGGTTAATTGGAATGATATGAAGTTTTTAAAGCATTTAAAAATAAATTTTATTTTTGACAGTTTCATAAATATATCTATATGTAATGTATTTTTATTAATTTTTTTATTATCTTTGATCTTTTTTTATAGTCTAGTCATTATCCCCTTCCTGTTCTGCCCTCTGACAGTTTCTCATCCCATTCCTCCTCCCCTGTCTCCAAGAAGATGCCCCCCCCACCCCACCCCCACACCACCAGGCTTCCCCATTCCTTGGGGCCTCAAGTTTTTCATGGGTTAGGTGCATCTTCTCTCACTAAGGCAACACTAGGCAGTCCTCTGCTATATATCTTTCTGCAGAGTAAACTTCTTTTAAAAGCAGCATGCATAAAAGACTCATACCTGGGCTGGAGAGATGGCTCAGTGGTTAAGAGCACTGACTGCTCTTCCAGAGGTCCTGAGTTCAAATCCCAACAACCACATGGTGGCTCACAACCATCTGTAATGGGATCTGATGCCCTCTTCTGGTATGTCTGAAGAGAGCAATGGTGAATACATAAAATAAATAAACAAAACAATAAATAAATAAACCTAAAAAAAAAAGACTCATACCTTCAATATATAAAAACTTATGCAAGGTAATAGATAATCAGCCACAAAAATTGAAATATGCACACAAAGACCTGGGCATGGTAGTGCGTACCTGTAATCCCAGCATTTGAGAGGTAGAGGTAGGATGATCAGTAGTTCAGAGCCATCCTCTGGTATGTAGCAAGTTGAAAACAAGTTTGGGCTACACTTGGCAATGTGTGTGTGTGCTTAGGCAGAGACAGGTGGATCTCTCTATGAGTTTTAGGCTAGCCAAGGTTACACAGTGACACGTCTCAAAAAAAAAAAACACAAAAAACAAGAAAAGGAAGGAAAAAAATCAACATTTAGGGCTAGAGATCTATATAGTTCAGTGGTAGAGTGCTTGTCTAGTGTGTATAGACTCTGTGTTCAATTCCCAATACTACAAAAAAAGGAAGCAGGAAACGATGTAGATTTATTTATTTAGCTTTTGTTTTTGAGACAAGGTGTCACTAAATAGCCTTGGCTGGACTGGAACTCATAGTGTAGACCAGGCTAGCTTCAGGCTCACATGATCTGTCTGCCTCTGTGGCCTGAGTGCTGGGATTATGGTATGTGCAACCGCACCTGGCCTATTTCTAGACACTTGTCTTTACATACCTAGAGAATTATTAATATATAATACCGTTTACAATAAAAAATATGATCAATCACATAAATGCTTATCAAGAACAAAATTAAATATTATACAGTAGGATACCATGTAGCTATTAAGATAAGGAAGCAATTATTTTTGCAAATTGTGGGATTGTTATTAAAATATAAGTGACAAAAGATATATTAACTCTAGAACAGTGTAATCTATGTGTAGAGGAAGAATGTGAGGTAAGGAGTCATAGCATCTGTATGTATATACATGTATAGATATATATGTCTGTTTAGTCAAGTTCCTTACAAGTACACGCTCAGGTGGGGATTGTCTACAAGGGACTTACTCAAAATTACTGCAGCTGCTCTAAAGAAATCTGTATTGAAGTAGAGGAAAGAACAGGGAACAAGCTGGACAAAGGTTTATAGTGGCACCACAGATGTCCTAGAGACCAGGGGCTCGGACTTTACCCTCCTGCACACCAGCAGTGACCACAGGCTTTGGGAACACAAGCAGTTCTGAGAAAGATGTAGACATGGTCCTTAGCGTACAACATCTGCAGTAGCTGGCCATTCTGAAAGGGAGTGAGCAAGGGTTCCCAATGGCATCTGCTGTTCTGTCTCTGGAAATATTTATAAAAGCTGATTGAGTGAGTGTCTCTGGGGAAAGGAACTGGGTGACTGGAGGACAGCAGTCAGAGAGAGACTTGACAGTATATAAACTCTTGATACTTTATATGTCAATGTGTGAGTAAATTTGCACAAAGGAGAGTCTTGCACCAAGCAGCCATAGTGTTTTAGGTTTTTCAAGACCGGGTTTCTCTGTGTAGCCCTGGCTGTCCTGGAACTCACTCTATAGACCAGGCTGGCCTCAAACTCAGAAATCCACCTGCCTCTGCCTCCCAAGTGCTGGGATTAAAGGCGTGTGCCAACACTGCCCGGCTGTGTTTTAGGTTTTAAAGTATGGTTATGTGATGACATAACCATAAAGTCTTAGTTTTGACAATTTGAGTTTTTAATAAACAACTAGAAAACCACATTAACAGTTGTATTGCAGTCTGGATATGGTGGTCCACACCTATAATCCTCGCATGAGGGAAACTGAACAGGTAGTTCTCAAGTTTGAGGCCACCTGCACTAGAATAGTAAGTTTCAAGCTAGCCTGGACTACAGAGTGAGACAGTTAGTTATATGTGGTGGCTCATGCCTGTGATCTCAGCGCTTGGGCGGTCGAGAAGCTGTACTATGCAATATAATACCCTATAATATTAAACAGTATATACTATTACAATTTTTTTAAGTAAAGTTTTTAAAATTCAGTTCTTCAACATACTAGTCACATTTCAAGTACTCAGTCCCCAAATGTGGCTGTTATTTAATCAAATGGATAATGCAATATAAACATTACAAGTTTTCTATCATTGCATAGTTTCATTGTACAGAGCTGCTTTAGGTTGTCAGTGACCATGTGGTATGCCCCTCATCCCTCTAGGAAACCTTTAACTCTTATGTAAGAGCATCTAGATGTTAAGATAAGTTGTGTGCCAGGCAGTGGTGGTGCACACCTTTAATCTCAGCACTGGGGAGGCAGAGGCAGGGGGATCTCTGAGTTTGAGGCCAGCCTGGTCTACAGCGTGAGTTCCAAGACAGCCAGGGCTACACAGAGAAACCCTGTCTCAAAAAAACAAACAAACACAAAGTTGGGCTATACTTTTATTTTCCTTCTCCAGTGACTGTCGTCACTGAAGTCACCATTTGACAAATGCAAAGTTGTGTGCCATGTTGGGAATTACAGCCTGAGGGAGCCGTGTCACCATCCTCACTCAGTAGGCTTTCTGCCCTCTTTCTTGTGTAGGTCTGGATCCTCATCTTGTGGTCATGTCTGTTTTCTCAGAATTGTCCTTGTCAGTTTCTTGGTGTTTTAAAAACTGTCTTCCTTATTATTGTGTGTGTTGCAGGTTGAGGTGAGGTACAGTGTGTGGGGGTCAGAGGTCAGCTTTGAGGAGTCACTTCTCTCCTTCCACCTTTCTGTGGGCTCAGAGGGTTAAACAGGTTCTCAAACTGGATGCCAAGTGCTTTTACCCGCTGGGCCATCTCGCCAGCCCAGTCTCATGGCATGTAAGATAAAGCCTTGAACTTAACTAGAATAGATATTTATAATTGTTCTTCTTCCTAGGACTGAACTTCAGACTACAAATGCAGACAACAAAACTAAGAAACTTGCATTGCCTCTCTTTGGTGCCATGAAAGGAGGAAGCAAATTCAAATTAAGAACTGGAACGGTAGGGGTAAGTTGTGAGTTAGAGTGTGTTGAACTTGGAGTCCTCGAGCTGTCCCTGAACTAGATTTCCATCTTATTCCCTGGTTATATGGGAAGGACTGTTGGATTAGCATGGGAATCTCCTGCTGAGAATTAGTGAGCTGGACGGAAGAGCTGACTCAGCTGTCACTCCCAAGCCTGAGAACCAGACTTCAGATCCCAGGACCCCATGTAAAGTGAGGCACGGCCCTGTGCAGACTGTGACCCCAGCACTGAGGGCTGCTGAGGCAGGATTGCTAGGGCTTGCTGACTGACAGCCTAGCTTGGCTGCAGGGTCAGTAAAGATGCTTCCTTAAAGGAGTGAGGTGGAGAGTGATGGAAGAGGACAGCTGTTGCCTCCTCTGGCCTCGTGTGCACACAGACACAATCGAGTTGGATGATTGATTTATGCCAGTCAACTTGAAAAAACTCATGTAATTTTTTTTTTTTTTTTTTTTTTACTGGTATAGTTTCTTTCCTCCCTCCTTCCCCCTCCCTTTCTAATGCATGTTGTATTTAGAAATGAAGTGCCTACATTGATATTTTTCCCCATGATTATTTTGTTTACTGGAATATTGTTTTTCCTCCTTATTTAAAAATAGTAGTTCCATGAGAATTTTGTACATTGTGCTTTGATGATATTCACTCCCGTCTCCAACTTCTCCCAGGTCTGCACCCTGCCCTACCCACCCAACTCTGTGACCTCTTGTTTTTCTCCTTCTGTCTCCTCTTCCTCCTCCTCCTCCTTCTCTTCCTCCTCCTCCCCCTCCTCCTCCCCCTCCTCTTCCTCCTCCCCTTCTTCCTCCTCTTCCTTTTCTTCCTTCTCCTCTTCTCTTCTTCTTCTTCTTTCTCTTCCTTCTCTTTTTCTTCCTCTTCCTCCTCCTCTTCCCCCCTCTTCCCCTTTTCCTCTTCCCTCACTTCCTCTTCCCCCTCCTCTTCCTCCCTCCTCCTCTTCCTCTTCATCCTCATCTTCCTCTTTTTACTCCTTCACCTTTTCCTCCTCATCTTCCTCTTCCTCTTTCTTCTTTTTTTCTTCTTTTTTTGTTTCGTTGGATTGTTTATTTGTTTTGTTTTTAAGATAGGGTTTCTTTGTGTAGCCCTGGCTGTGGATCAGGCTGGCCTCAAACTCACAGAGATCTGTCTACCTCTGCCTCCCAGTGCTGGGATTAAAGGTGTGTGCCACCCAGCACCTCTTTATTTTTTTTAACCCATTGAACGTAATTTATACTGTCCATATATTCTTGGATATGTGTCCGTCTGCTGGGGCGTAGTTGGTTGACTAGAAGGTGTAGTCTTAGATAAAACTGACTCTCCCACTCCTAAGGTCCATTATTTGTCCATAACTTCTCAGCTAGAGATACAGCTTTGTACCTTCCTCCCTTTTCCCTAGCTGAGGCTGTAGCCCGATCTTACTGACACATTTTCTCAACTGCTCCTCTCCAGTGACTCTAGCTTATGTCAAGTTGATGAAAACTAGCAGCATAATGACATAAGTCTAAATAATTCAGCTCGCAGTACCTTGCAGGTCTATTTTCTAACAGTTCTAGATAGTAGAGGTTCAAAATCAAGATGCTGGCATAGTTGGTATCTTGTGCCTTACCGATGGCTGCCCTTTCATATAATTGCCTCTCCCTTTAATAGTGTCAGGCATGCCATCTTAGGGCCCAAGGCTTCTCAGCCATTTGACTAACGACGGCTCATTGTAACTTAATCACTCAAAAGACCTTATCTCCAAATGAGATGACATTCCAAGAGATCTTAGGAGTTGAGACCTCACACGTGGATTTATAGGGGTGTATGTAGATCAATAAGAAAAAAAAAGCAAGTATAGTGTTGCATATAGTTGTTGACATACTGGGAAAGCTGAGACATGGACTCAAATTCTGGGCCAACCTGAGCTATAGAGCCAAACTGTCTAAAAGCAAACAACAAAACAACTGAGATAGAAAGACCTTAAATTGTGATGGACTGTCATCTGATGCCAGAGGCCTGAAGTCCCAGTCACACATGTGACTGACTTAAAGTTATAGAAAGGGAAGTATCCAGGTTTAAATAGAAGAAAAATGGTTTCTTAAAAGGCTTTTTAATGCTGGGCAGTGGTGGTAGATGCCTTTAATCCCAGTACTCAGGAGGCAGAAGCAGGCAGATTTTTATGAGTTTGTGGCCAGCCTGGTCTTCAGAGTTCCAGGACAGCAAGGGGTACACAGAGAAACCCTGTCTTCTTCTGGTCTGCAGGCATACATGCAGGCAGAATGCTGTATACATAATAAGTAAATGAATCTAAAAAAGGCTTTTAAAAAAAGATTACTTAATTTTTTTAATATTTAAAAAATATTAAAGGACTAGCTAGTAGCCTGGGGTGATAATCTCTACCTGGGAGGATCATTCCAGACTTGAAGTCATCCTGGTCTACATAGTGAGTTTCAGGCAAACCAGCACTGTATAGTAAAACCTTGCTCAGAGTATTCAGAGGGTCAAGGGAGGACAGTCAAAATGATTTTCTTGAAAACATATATTTGATTTACTTCCTTGAAGATCTTGTAATGCATCAAAGTCCTATGATAGCAATGGTATGACAGGATTGGATCCTGCTGCTGTTACTCACCTACAATAGTGTTCTCTTTCTCTACAAGGTGCTTCAAGTGTTCTATATTTAATAACCCTGGAACCCTGTGTGTTCCACTGAAGAAAGAACATACATGACCTTGCATCTGCTAGGCAAGCACACTGCCACTGATCTGTACCCGGTGCTGCGTTAGTAATCTTCGTTGTTTCGGTTTTTGGTGTTGCTGATCCAGTTTAGGTTCTTATATATATTGTCTAGTAATCTGTGGCCTAGAAATTGTTGAAAACATTTGCTGAGATTTATAGATGAACAAAATTTCCTTTGGAGGTCACACTTTTAGCAGACTTCTGTGGGGCTTACTAACCGGGAGAGGCTGTACTGTATACATTTAGCCTAACCTCCCAGAGGAGAATTGTTCCTTTTAACCCTCATGCAGAACTTCTGGTTCATGGTTTTATTTCCCTTGTAGAAGTTGCCACCCAAGCGTCCAGAACTCCCTCCAGCTTTAATGCAAATGAAGGATGAACCTGAAGTAGAAGAGGAGGAAGAAGAGGAAGAAGAGGAGGAGAAAGCAAAGGAGGAGCATGAAGAACGAGTGGAGGGTGGAAGCGTCAGGCTGCCTCAGGAGCCGGAGTTGGAAGCAGCGGTGGAGCACCCGAGTGCTCCCTCAGAGCCCTCGTGCTCTAAGGAGACGAAAAGTCATGGTAGTGTCTATTTCCCTGTGCTGGCTAGTCGGGCAGTTGTATTCATTGGGGTCGAGTTAAAAACACAAAACCGGTTATGTTTGTTGTTACAGAGGATCAGAGTGTATGTATGTACATGTGAAATAGCAGGGTTTCCTCTTTTTAGCAAGCCTTACATCCAATTAGGCAGCTGTTGGTTATGGCCAACAGAGGAGCCACTGTAGCATCTTCAATGTATCTTGGCGTGTTGGCCTGTGTTTTTGTTCACACTTGTTGCAGATCGATAGGACTGTCAGTTGCTTCCCTCCCTTGTCAGTTTGTGTAGTACTTTCTGGTGCTGTGGAAGCTAGACTACAAGAACAAGGCTTCCAGATAGATTCAGCTCCAGCTGTCCAATCTTGTGTCCTAAGTATGCAGTGTCTTTAGCAATAGGGACTTACTTTCAACCTCTGGGAATCAATGAAGGGCAGTGGCAATAGCTTGATTGCTTGTGGAGTCACTTGGACTACCCTGACCATCCACTTGGGTAAGAGTGTCTAGGGCTGGGATTTTAGGTAATGTATAGTGTTCTGAGAATTGTCAGCACAAATGAAATGCCATTATTTAAAAACGCGGGTTTTTAAAACTTGGTTTAAAACCTTAAAGCTTGGGGACTGGAGAGATGGCTTAGGGGTCAATAGCACTGACTGCTCTTCCAGAGGACCCAGGTTCAATTCCTAGCACCTGCATATCAGTTCACAACTGTCTGTAACTCAAGTTTCAGGGGATCTGACACCCTTATATAGACATATGCAGGCAAAACGGCAATGCACATAAAAGTAAAACAAAAGCCAAACAAACAAAAACCCACAACAAAACAAAAAAACCTTAAAAGTTAAATAATAAATCTGTAGTTGATGAAGGATTAGTCTATACCTTTGGACTTCTGTCTTCTTTTTTTTTTTTTTTTTTAACATAGAATCATATTCAGAATCTATAGCCTGCTTTTTTCCTATGTCCTAAAAATATTACTTTTTAATTTTTAAAATTACATTTATTATCTACATGTTTATGATTATGTGACTACTATGGCATACATGTGCAGGTCAGAGGACCAAAGGGGCTGGATCTCTGCTTCCACTATCGTGGATTGTGTTTGATTGAGTCAAACTCAGGTCATCAGGCTTGGTGGCAAGTGCCTTTACCTGCTGAACTTTCTTACTGGCTTTGTGAATCAGATAAAGGATAATAAAAATATTATTTTTATAATATGATTTTCTTTTACTAGGTGTCATAGTGGTCCAGTATATGTATATGTCATGATTTAATTACTTTTTACATTTTTAAGCATGTAAAGTATTTAATTTTTAAATTTAATTGAAAAATGTTAAGTTGCCTTTATTGTGTGTGGTGGTGAAGCACGTGTGTGCCTTATGCACCTGTGGAGATGAGAGGATGGCTCTCAGGGGAGTCATGGCTCCTGCCACGAGGGTTCTGGAGATGGACTCAGGTCATCCGTCAGGTTTGACAACAAGTGGCTTTACTTGCTAAGCCATCTCATTGGCCCTATTAATTTTTGTTATTGTAAAAATGTAAATAATAAATCTTGATAACTTAATCCTGGTATCTTTTAGAATATATATTCCTTGAAGTTAAATTTGTAAGTTAAGGAGGTAGATATGTACGTTTTTAAGACTTTTTGTTGTAAGAGTTACCATTAAGTTTTACTTGAAAGTTTTTTAAAGTGGAATTTCAGGGTTTCTGCTAGGTATCCGGAAGCTCCTTTACTGAAGACTTTAGGGTGAATTGAATCTGCTGTAGTCTAACTGAATCACATAGAAGTGTGTAGCTGCTCCTCTTGTCTTTGCTCTTTTGGACTCTACCATGAATTAAATAACAATAATATGCCCTGGCACTGCTTTTTATAGAAAGAATATCTCAACTCAGCCACATGGAACAGAGTAAAGATTATCAAGAGATGGGCAAAATAATGTCATCCTGTGAGGACCCTTCAGGTAAGTAGGATAGCCAATTCTAGTGCTTCTGCACACACAGGGGCTACCTGGTTTTATAAGGAGGCAGGTGGGAGGCAGAACAGAAAATGGCATACAGAAGGCAGGGATGGATGGACAGAGGTTTGTGTTCGGCACTGTCTTACTTGCCTATTCTGTTCCTAGCCTGTTTCCTGGGGCTCCCCATCTGTCCCACAAAGCATTCAGTGCCTCAGGCCCCTCTCTGACAGATAGAAGACGCCTCTCCAGCATTACATCTCTCAGTCCACTGTGTCCTACCATGGAGTGACTTAAACCTGTGGTAATAAGTCAGGTCATAGGTTGGTTGGTACGTAGAAAGGCTACTTTTCTCTGGCTTTACCTGTTACAGGTAAAGCAGCCTTGTCATATTTTAGCTTATAGCCTAGCTTTGGTATTTAAAACTGAAACATATCAGTGAAAGGTAATTTCTTATGAGTGTTTGTGTGAATGAAATAAAGGTCTGTTTTATTTTTAAAATTACGTGTGTGTGTGTGTGTGTGTGTACGTGAGTGCTGCTGTTCTTGTGGGCCAGAGGTGCCAAATCCCTTCAGAGCTGCAGTTACAGATGGTTGTGAGCCATTTGATGTGCGTGCTGAGAACTAAACTCAAGTCCATGTAAGATTAATGGGTGCTTTTAACTGCTGAGACATCTCTCCAGTCCCTATATATTTTTCAAATTTATGTGTATGTGTGATATGATTATATGCTACATGTATGCAGGTGCCTGCAGAGACCAGGGGTGTCATCAGATTCCCTCAGAGCTAGATTATAGGTGGTTGTTAGTTGCTTGACATGTGCTAGGAACCAAACTCTGCTCCTCTGAAGAGCAGCCTCCTCCTCCTCCTCTTGGTCCTCTTCCCCCTCCTCTTCTTCCTCCTCCTCATCCTCCTCCAGCTTTCCCTTCCTTTTCCTTCTTTTTTTTTAAAGATTTATTTATTTATTTTATGTATTTGAGTACACTATAACTGTCTTCAGACACACCAGAAGAGGACATCAGCTCCCATTACAGATGGTTGTGAGCCACCATGTAGTTGCTGGGAATTGAACTCAGGACCTCTGGAAGAGCAGTTAGTGCTCTTAACCGCTGAGCCATCTCTCCAGCCCCAACTATTTCTTCTTAATATACATTTTTTATAAAGATTTAGTTTATTTTTGGTTATGTGTATGTGTGTGTGTGTGGGGGGGGGTATGTGCATGTTGGTATGTGCACGAGTACCAGTGTCTGTGGTATCCAGAGGTGTTGCATCCTCTGGAAATGGAGTTACAGGGAGTTGGGAGGTCTGCCAGTGGGGGTTGGCTACAAACGTGCTTAACCACTGAGCCAGCTCTCCAAACCTTTATATAGTCATACAATGTTGTAGACAATCCAGTTACTGAGTGTCTATGGCTTCATTACAGCACTGTCTCAGGGGAGCTTCAGTCTATACTATGTTTACTTCTGATAACAACTGTATCTACTTTATCCCCCCTTAAAGCAGCACCAGAGAATGAATATAAAAAAGACAGAGAGGAGTTGAAGAAAAAGAAACCTCCTGGGCCAGGCAAAGTACGTACTTCACTTTTCTGAAAGCAGGTTTACTGTGGTGGGTCTTTGACCCTTGAGACTGCCTTAGAGTTTCCAGCAGCAGTAGTTACTTGCAGAAATCTGGACTCTTCTTCATTTTCATGTTTCAATTCTCCATCTACCCTGCTCTTATTAATTTATTAATTGTTTTTTCATATCTTGTATGCAATGCAAAGAATTTGAGTACATGTTCTTATCTCCCTCTTGTGACATAAAAGTATAATTGATGTTCTCCATTGTAATCTTAATTTTTAACCTATTGTGGAATTCGTATTAATTTCTCAAGAGCTTCCTACTTCACTAGCTCCTCAGAGAGGGCCAAGTGGGTTGTATGTCCTGTCCTGGGATCATCTTGGGGTGCCTAACTCACAAGAGGACTGCAGAGCTCGCCGTGTGGTCCTGCTGGCAGCTGTGACTCCTTACAGCAGAAGGATATCGGGGACAGTCAGCAACAGGAAAATGCACTGGGCAAAAAAATGTGTGCAACCATATGCAAGGCTCAGAGTCCTCATGTACTAGAGACACAAAGTGTGCTTAGTCTCCCTAGCAGCTAGCTGTGGCAAGTGGTGCTAAATGGAGAAGCTCATTCACGGACTCAGAACCAGGATTTTATTGGGGGTGTATCATGTAAGGCATTATCTGCCCAACATGTGTCCACTTTCCATACTGGCAAGAGGAACATGAGCACACTGAGTGCACAGCGGACACTCATAACCCCAGGGACATAGTGAGACAGAGTGAGCCACCCTTGTCTGTTAGGACCCAAGTCTCCCTCCAAACCCCAGACCACAGTCCAGCCAAAGGCTGGCCTGTCAATAGCCTCACAAAGGATAGCAACAGGCTTGCCTGGCCAGGTCAAAGACAAACAGTGGCTTTCTCTTACCACTCCTTTTATTTCTCTTTTTCAGGAGTGTGTGTACAGTGTGTGCGCTTTTTTGTTATTGTTTGTTTTTGTTGTTTTTGAGGCAGGGCTTTCATTGTAGTGCAGGAGTGCCTCATACCCCTTCTGCCTCAGCCAGCCAGATGTTAACACCACTTTACAGGGTCTTATACCAGCTGCAGGGACGGCTTAGTTGGTGAGGTGCTTGTGGGACAAGTGTGAGGACCCAGGTTTGGATTTTCAGCACATGTCTTCAGCTTCAGTACTGAGGAGGCAGAAGGCCAACCAGCCTCACCACGTCAGTTAACTTCAGGTTCAGTACAGAATCACCTGTCACAAAAGGATGGCAGGTGGCTTAGTGCAGATGCTTGCTTTCAAGACTCACAGCTTGAGTTTGATCCTGGACTCATTTGGTGAAAGGAGAGAACTGACTCTGGCTAGTTGATCTCTGACCTTCACATATGTCCCAGGACATGCACACTCAAAAGCACAAATAGATAGAATTTTAAAAGTTAAAAAAAAAAGCCAGGTATGGTGATGCATACCTTTAATCCCAGCTCTCAAGAGACAGAGGCAGGTGGATCTCTGTGAGTTTCAGGACACCCTGGTCTAAAGAGCAATTTCCAGGATAGCCAGGGCTACAGAAACTCTGTCTGGAAAAAACAAAAAATAAGCCAGCAAGTAAGTAAATAAATGAGTAACTAGAGGGACATGTGCAGTGCACATGTCTCTAATCCTAGAACCTGGGAGGCAGAGGTAAGTGGATCTCTGTGACTTTGAGGCCAGCCTGGTGTATGTAATGTGTTCTCAACCGACTGGGGCTTCATAGAGACTTTGTCTCAAAGTAAAACATGAAGAGCAATTGAGGAAGACACTTGGCACTGACTTCTGGCTTTATAGAAATCAGAGTCATTCTCAGAAACTGTTCTCTCTTAGTTTTGTTTACTGACAGGCACAAAGACAATAAATCTTACAGGTAAAAGTCTTTAGAGTCAGATAATGATGAGACAAACTTGTAATCCCAGGTAGGGTGATCACAAATCCCCAGGGTACCCTGAGCTACTTAGTGATACTCTGACTCAACAAACAACTGTGGTGAGTAAAACAGTATTTTTCTTCTTTGCAGTTTCCACCCATACTTTCTTCCAAATATCCTGAGGATGACCCAGACTACTGTATATGGGTCCCACCTGAAGGTATAGTGTTTATTTTTCCTTCCTTTAAGATGTATGTATGTGTGTACATGAGTCCCTACATGTATGGTGTATATGACGTGTACCTGTTGCCATGGAAGACAGAAGAGGGCATTAGATTTGCTGGAACTGGACTTGCGGGTGGTTGTGATCTGCTGTGTGAGGTGCCGTGGACTGAACGCAGTCCTGTGAAGACGCAGCAGATCCTCCTAGCCTCAGGGCCGTCCTGGCTCCCTCCCGGTTATATCAAGTAGGTTCGCTGTTTAAGAGAGCTACACAGTACACAGTAAGTCTCCCTTGTAATTAAAGGATGTCAAGAGACACATCAAGTCAGTGGAACTGCTGCATCCTGTGTAGATCCTTACTTAACTTTTAAAAAATTATAATGGCCTAGTGTGTAGCTCAGTTGATAGAGTGCTTGCCCAGCATTCGCAGAGCCCTGGATTTAATCCCTAACACTATGTAAGCCAGGTATAGTGACATAGACCTGTGATCCCAGCATTCAGCAGGAGAAGTAGGATGATCAGAAGTTCAGGGCTATTTTTTACTACATAGCAAATATGAGACTAATCTTATCTACACAAGACCCTGCTTAAAAAATATATAAATAAATATGTAAAAATAATTTTTGTAAAGTAATGAGACAGTCACACACATTTGAACACTGTCTTGACCAAGGCAAGTCTTATAAAGGACAACATTTAGTTGGGGCTGGCTTACAAGTTCAGTCCATTATCATCATTGTGGGAGCATGGCAGCATCTAGGCAGGCATGGTGCAAGCAGAGCTGAGAGTTCTACATCTTTACCTGAAGACTGCTAGCAGAATACTGGCTTACAGGCAGCTAGGATGAGGGTCTTAAAGCCCACGCCCACAGTGGCACACCTACTCCAACAGGGCCACACCTAACAGTGCCACTCCCTGGGCTGAGCATAAACAAACCATCACAAACACTAACTGAATATTGATGATAGAAATTTTAGTTGACTCTTTAAAATCTGAATGATGTTGAATAATGGCTTTTGAAAAATGTCGTTATGTTCTAGACAGGATACAGATACAGAGATTTACTTTAAGTGCTCTGGTGATAGAGAATAAGAGAACCTGGATAGGGATAGTAGATAGAGAGGATTGGCCACACTTTATTAACTACTAAAGCTGGGTGAGGGATGCATGCATGCTTTATTTATTTATTTATTTTGCTTATTTTTGCAAGAAATTTGCATTTTATTAACTAAAAGAAAAAAATTAATTTCTGACTCATCTAATCTTTTTTTCTCTAAAGATAATGGAATAGTATCGGTTTCTTATTAATTATTAACTCTTAATGCATTATATAAAATGCCTATACAAAAGATATTTTAGTCCCTTTTCTACACAAATGGGGGTTTCATCTACTCATTTGTTCTTAGAACAATTATTTCTTTTTTCCTCATTTAATTGACGCATAGTTGTTGGTTTTTGAGCGCGCACGTGTGCGCATGTGTGTGTGTGTGTGTGTGTGTGTGTACACTTGCACATGTATGCCATGGCATGCATTTGAAACTCAGGGTGATGTGCAATGGTTGATTCTGTCCTTTCACTGTGTGGGTTCTGACTTTACCTACTAAGCCATTGCGCTGGTTCCTTGTTCTGCTTTCTTTTTTTTTATTATTAAATAAATCAATAAATTAGTAAATTCTAAAGTTGAAAAGGATAAAGATTACTGGACAAACAAGTAAATAAAATACACCAAGTATAGAAATACATCCATGGGAAAGCGGGTGTTAACATCCTGGGTCAAAGGGCTGCCCATAACTACACTCTGAGGATACTGTCCCAGTTCAGTGCTAGTGCATGCACACGGGTAGGAGATGATCGCCTCTCCACGGGCTAATCACATGTTGCCTTTCTTGGTGGATGATGTTTCTAAGATACTAGAAATATTTGCTTCTTATCTACTAATAAATGTTGAGTAAAAAGAAAGTATATTGTGGCCTGGCGGTGGTGGCGCGCGCCATTAATCCCAGCACTTGGGAGGCAGAGGCAGGCAGATTTCTGAGTTTGAGGCCAGCCTGGTCTACAGAGTGAGTTCCAGGACAGCCAGGGCTACACACAGAGAAACCCTGTCTCGAAAAAAAACAAACAAAAAGAAAAAAGAAAGAAAAGAAAAGAAAAGAAAAGAAAGAAAGAAAGAAAGAAAGAAAGAAAGAAAGAAAGAAAGAAAGAAAATTGTGAGATTATGCCCAAAAAGTAAATTTTCATAGCAAAGTG